CCAACGATGTTTCTCTATCCTTTCCAGGTTTACATATTCTCTTCATTTATTGTTAAACACAATAGACCATGTATAATGGTCAAGGACTAATATTATGTAAACAAGTTTAGCGAAAAGCTGTAGGTACAATATTTGAACGGAGATGCACAAATGCCTATCTCTTTTACTATTGAGTAAATTACTTATTCAGTGCATTTACTGGATTTTTCTATAATGACACCTTCTGTAAATTACCTGGTTCTTAGGTCATTAGTGGACTAGATTAGCATTGTTTGTTAACATTTTTAATTACCCCTTTATTTCCTGTGAGTTTTTCTAATCAATTTTACTGATTTATAGATTTTTATAGTTATTAGATAGACATGTGCATGAATGAATTCACTTAGGACTTAGGTATGGTAGAACCTAATAAACCGGCACTTCGAACACCTAAAATAAATCTCTTTATTTTCTTATACAATAAGGGTGAACAACCTGGTGAACAACAACAAAAAATGTATTTTTTTTTTATAAAAATGGTAGCTAACATTTAAAATTCTGTTACAATGATAAAGAGTATAACATATACCAATTTTTAAATAAATTCTTATCTTTTCAAAAAATAATAATTGTACATTTAGCGTTATACTTATATATATATATATATATATATATATCTATTATTGATATAAGTCGAGATCCGGATAATAGTAGGATAACCTGAGATCCCCCTTTAAAGTTAAAAATATGCGTGTATAATGGGTTGCCAATGACATGAAATATGTTCTTCTATCATTACCCCTATAGAGGGGAAAGAAATTCATACAATTAAAATTATCCATATAAAAAGCAGTTAGGATGAGATCAAAAAATAAATACACTTAAGTAGAGATCATATAGTGTATAAAATGACATTGGTGTATTAAGTAGAGATCATGCGGTGTTGTCAAATGTACTTGTTCTAAAAATAGATTTCGTTATCTTTTGCGAATACTTAACAGGTTGTTAGCCTTCATGTGGGATTCCTTCGCGTATTCTTTCTTCGATAAAGCGTTAATATTATTTGGCACCCGGGGCTTGAAAATATTATAACATTTAATTAAATAATACCTAGTGTAATAGGTACTCTATTTTACATCGATGATAAATTAAAACGATTACCTATTTATTGAAGGAAAGAGTTCCCGTTGGAAATGATTTTTTTTATTTTTCTAACAGCTGATAGTGGTTCATAAGTCTACATCTTTGAATTAAAGGACCCAATTCAAACTCACTTTCAAAGTACAATTGCCATTATAATGTAATAAATTTTTGCCATTAACTGAAATGCTTCAAAATTGATTATGCATAAGTATTCATCCTACAATCATGTATAAACACCAAACCCAAAGAAATCATTATCAAATTGCTTTCTTATCTCTTTTCCAGTACCGTATGGCGCATGGTTGGTAAAAAGCAATCATAAGAACTCTAAAGTTATTTGCTTATGATCACATGTAAACCATTAGGTTGTTCAGTATTTCGTAAAGAAATCTGTGAAAAGTTCATTTTTGAAGAAAGATGCCTTGGTTAGTCAAACTGGTTCAAACCATGGAGGTGACCATTTTGGTTCAAAAACATCTAATTCATCCTCCAATCATGTATAAACACCAAACCCAAAGAAATCATTATTAAATTGCTTTCTTATCTCTCGTCCAGTACCGTATGGTGCCTGGTTGGTAAAAAGCAATCACAAGGACTCTAAAGTTATTTGCTTATGATTACATGTAAACCATTAGGTTGTTCAGTATTTCGTAAAGAAATCTGTGGAAAGTTCATTTTTGAAGAAAGATGCCTTGGTTAGTCAAATTGGTTCAAACCATGGAGGTGGCCATTTTGGTTCAAAAACATCTAATTCATCCTCCAATCATGTATAAACACCAAACCCAATCAAATTGCTTTCTTATCTCTCGTCCAGTACCGTATGGTGCATGGTTGGTAAAAAGCAATCACAAGGACTCTAAAGTTATTTGCTTATGATTACATGTAAACCATTAGGTTGTTCAGTATTTCGTAAAGAAATCTGTGAAAAGTTCATTTTTGAAGAAAGATGCCTTGGTTAGTCAAACTGGTTCAAACCATGGAGGTGACCATTTTGGTTCAAAACATCTAATTCATCCTCCAATCATGTATAAACACCAAACCCAATCAAATTGCTTTCTTATCTCTCGTCCAGTACCGTATGGTGCATGGTTGGTAAAAAGCAATCACAAGAACTCTAAAGATATTTGCTTATGATTACATGTAAACCATTAGGTTGTTCAGTATTTCGTAACGAAATCTGCAAAAAGTTCATTTTTGAAGAAAGATGCCTTGGTTAGTCAAACTGGATCAAACCATGGAGGTGGCCATTTTGTTTCAAAAATATCTAATTCATCCTCCAATCATGTATAAACACCAAACCCAATCAAATTGCTTTCTTATCTCTCGTCCAGTACCGTATGGTGCATGGTTGGTAAAAAGCAATCACAAGAACTCTAAAGTTATTTGCCTATGATTACTTGTAAACCATTAGGTTGTTCAGTATTTCGTAAAGAAATCTGTAAAAAGTTCATTTTTGAAGAAAGATGCCTTGGTTAGTCAAACTGGTTCAAACCATGGAGGTGACCATTTTGGTTCAAAAACTTCTAATTCATCCTCCAATCATGTATAAACACCAAACCCAAAGAAATCATTATCAAATTGCTTTCTTATCTCTCGTCCAGTACCGTATGGTGCATGGTTGGTAAAAAGCAATCACAAGAACTCTAAAGTTATTTGCTTATGATTACATGTAAACCATTAGGTTGTTCAGTATTTCGTAACGAAATCTGCAAAAAGTTCATTTTTTAAGAAAGATGCCTTGGTTAGTCAAACTGGTTCAAACCATGGAGGTGGCCATTTTGGTTCAAAAACATCTAATTCATCCTCCAATCATGTATAAACACCAAACCCAATCAAATTGCTTTCTTATCTCTCGTCCAGTACCGTATGGTGCATGGTTGGTAAAAAGCAATCACAAGAACTCTAAAGTTATTTGCCTATGATTACTTGTAAACCATTAGGTTGTTCAGTATTTCGTAAAGAAATCTGTAAAAAGTTCATTTTTGAAGAAAGATGCCTTGGTTAGTCAAACTGGTTCAAACCATGGAGGTGGCCATTTTGTTTCAAAAATATCTACTTCATCCTCCAATCATGTATAAACACCAAACCCAATCAAATTGCTTTCTTATCTCTCGTCCAGTACCGTATGGTGCATGGTTGGTAAAAAGCAATCACAAGGACTCTAAAGTTATTTGCTTATGATTACATGTAAACCATTAGGTTGTTCAGTATTTCGTAACGAAATCTGCAAAACGTTCATTTTTTAAGAAAGATGCCTTGGTTAGCCAAATTGGTTCAAACCATGGAGGTGGCCATTTTGGTTCAAAAACATCTAATTCATCCTACAATCATGTGTAAATACCAAATCCAAAGAACTCATTATCAAATTGCTTTCTTATCTCTCTTCTAGTACCTTATGGTGCGTGGTTGGTAAAAAGCAATCACAAGAACTCTAAAGTTATTTGCTTATGATTACATGTAAACCATTAGGTTGTTCAGTATTTCGTAACGAAATCTGCAAAAAGTTCATTTTTTAAGACAGATGCCTTGGTTAGTCAAATTGGTTCAAATCATGGAGGTGACAATTTCGGTTCAAAAATATCGAACTTATCCGGCAATCATGTGTAAACACCAAACCCAAAGAAATCAGGATAAAACCAAAGCGGTGACAAAGCGTACCGCGTTAGGACCCAACGGACAAAACGTACCGCGTTTCGCCGTGGTCCAATCAGAACGGCCAATTTTTGCCGTATGGTTAATACGTGGTACGTTCTGCCTAAATGCGTACGGTACCTAATTGGTAAAATCAATCATAAACAATTTACCAAATTCTCTTTTTAGACAGCGCTGTAATATCTTTGGTTCTTTTCCCGTTGATCTTGGTATAGAAATAACGATTTTGACATCTTTTGATTAAAATACAAGTGGTCATCGAAAGTGTACCAAATTCCCTTATTGGGCACCGTGGTAGGTGTGTTCCAGCTTATAGTTACGATACCCTTAGAATCCATTATGACCCTCTTATTAATTTAATGC